TCTTGATGAAAGCAAGTTCAAAGTATTGCCATCAAAAGCATACTTATTCATGAATAGGAAAATACAGGTGAGAAAAAAAAAATTAAGCTCATGATGAACATAAAAAATGGAGCGGAGTACGTCTTCAATGCCTTAATGACAGTTTCAGCAGATCACATTATTGCTGTTGTATTGACCATTTGAAGATTTATTATAAACAACACCTTTACATTTCCTTTGAAAACATTAAGCTTTGGTTTGTGCTTTTAAAAAAAAACTGTCTCAAACCTTGCTTTAACATCCATTCATAGCAATCCCTTCGAGAAGATTCACGTGTATGACATTACTGACCTCTGCCTGTAAAAGAGGGGAACTGCATCGAGCGATTAACACCAGACGTGACCATCTCTCAGGCGAGACGGTCTGGCATTGTGTAGTTTCTTGAGCACCTCCTCCCTTTGCATATTTTTGTCAGGGATAAAACAAAGGGATCTTGGCATGTAGAGGGTCTGTAGGTGTAAAACAGTTACACATATGGTATGGATATGAATCTTACTTCTATTATCATAATAAAAAACAGTGTGAATATCAGAGCAGCTTGAGTCCAACTGCTACAATTACAGCTGTTAATATTATAGTCTTACTTATTAGATTATCATACTTTGCTGTTACTTCTGATACCACACATACTTAAACCACAATACTGGCGTTGTAGCCAACAACTGTTTTATTAATTGTTGTTTCTGAAAGCCCAACACAGTCCCAACGGCATGAGTGGTTAGCTCAATGTTTCTGCTTGTTAACAGGCAGTTTTTCCTGAACACTGCTAAATGTTGCCAAGTGCTTTGCTCATGCTGGATCAATGTCGGGTGTCTATAAATAGCTTAGACCTTCTCTTTTTTTTTTTTATCTTGAGATAGCATTCGATATAAATGAGGGCTTTACAAATACATATTTGATTGATTGAAAGCCCTCCCCAAGAAAGAGATGAGTCTCATCCTATTTACTGCAAGACTTTTTAAATATCTCAAAATGTATGAAAAACAATTTGATATAGCCTTTAAATTGTAGTTATAGACAGAAGATGCGTTGCAACATTGAAATCATGAAGCTTCAGTTAAAAAAAAAAAACACACTCTCAGGTAGACAGACAACATGTAATTTATTAACCAATATGGCAATTTATACAGAGAAGCAAAGGAGGATGAATTTTTTCAGTGATGATGCTTCTGCTTGAATTGTAATCCACAGTAGCCACACGTGCCCACTTTTGTATCTTTATCCTGGAAGACACAAAAAAGGAAATAATTAAAGAAAGAAAGTGAGTAATGATATTTTGGAATGCAATGTGCATACCAAAATATCATTAACATTATCATGTGACTATTACATAGAAATACAGCAAAGAGTATCTTCTCAGAGAACTGTAATTCAAGGCACAACATACATCCTAAAACTTGATTATTCAAGTAAGAACATTATTATCCTCATTTCTCTACATACCAATCTTTGTTTAAGTGGATAACATGTGAACCCAAAGAGCACATTCACACATGCTTCAAGTAACCTGTTTTTCAGTATTCTGATTATGATCTAATTTTCTGGAGCATTTCATAAATCAGAGGCGTCAGAGTTTTATTATTCAGGCTGCAGATCTGTATTCCTTCAGATGTCCAGGAGAACATTTCTTCTTTGATCAAGGTGTTTATGCATTTGAAAATATTCCTGCCATCGCTGAAGAACACATTAAACCTGATCAGACACTTTCATCTGACTTAAAGACAGAAGGCCCTGGTTGTACTTATGAGACAAAGTCAAAGTGCAGAAAAAGTCAACAAACACATGCACCGCACTTATTTAGGTGCTGAGTTGTAAAGAAATCACTAGATATTATGAGCAAAAGATCTGCAACACTATGGCTCCGAACAGGCTCAAAACGTTGTGCTCTATAATGCATATAGCAAATAAATAAGTATATCTTTGGGAGCCATAGTGTTGCGATTCATAAACTCCTCAAAAAAAGTTTGGAAACATTATTTTGGTCACTTATTTCGACCCTTTAATAATACTAATTGGTGTTGTATTACGTATCGTTGGAAAGCCTGATTAGTCACCTTTACACTGAAGTATAACTTGTAAGGATCCTGCATTCGTGGAATGTGCAACACAGCTAAACGTGTGAGTAGCGACCAAATTTTTTTTGCAAAAATTCCCTGCCATGTTCTTCCGTTGGCATTCACTCCTGTTTTGAGCTTCAAGTGCTGCCAGGTGTGCGCCAGTTACAGGTGTATGACTGGCACCTGATTGGCACTTAATTGACAGCACTTGCGGGATCAGCTTGGGCGTGCTGTTCATGCCGGTGTGACCAACACAACCACGCTGGTTGACCTTCAACAACTCCTGGTTGAGGAATGGGATGCCATCCCACAGCAAAATGTGACCAGCATGAGGACGAGGTGCCGAGTTGTTGTGGCTGCATATGGATCTTCCACACGCTGCTGAGGTCACTGACAGTGTAAAATGAATATAGTGTAAAAAGCTTCTTACTGCGGGTAGGGAACATGCAGGGGATTTTGGCACATTTTCTTTGGGCGCTACTCACACGTTTAGCAGTGTTGCTCATTCCACGAATGCATGATACTTACAAGTTATACCTCGTTGTAAAGGTGACTCATCAAGCTTTCCAACAATATAAAAAAACCACACCAATTAGTATTATTAAAAGGGGCGAAATAATTGACCGAAATAATGGTTCCAAACTTTTTTTGAGGGGTTTATAATGTAAAAGTGGACACATTCAATTAATCTCAATAAATGTGTGTGTGTACAGGCTCTGACCAGGTTGATGTAGACTTTAGGATGGCCCAGGGCCCCTCCACCACCATCACATGACACCACTCTCGCCTCAATGTCAGTCACTGGCTCTTCTGCGACCAATTTGATGGCAAAGTTCTTATTCACCTGACACAAAAAATGCATTAGAAATAGTTGGTATATAGAAGTGAGAAGTGGAACACTGCTAAGCAACACAGAGCTTTAACAAACACTTTGAGAGACTGAAATTGTCTGCACAGCTGATGATGAGGGATCATGTGTACAATGTGTGCTGTATGAACACAGCTGTTAAATGAAGTCAGGGGTGAGAACAGAATAACTCCACCATTTTCAATAGAAATACTTTAAAAGTGCTGAACTAGTGTTATGTGATTCACTGTAGTGAGAGGTGTACCGTTTTGAACTTTAATTGATTTATCTTTTATCATGAATCTGTGCAGAAGAAGATTGTATTATTTGAATGAATCAGTCCAAAAGTTTGCCAATGTAAGGATCAATACCAGGCTCACACAACACCAGTGATGCACATTGACTAGGGGTGTAAAGGTACACGTACTACACGGACCGATCCGAGTGCGCGCAGAACAGACGTGCTTTAATCTGTGTTCCCACACGGACAGCAAAGCGGAAGCACGCCGCAGGGTGGAGGAAGGCGCTGGTATGGGACACAGCTTTTAGTTAGCAACTTGTTAAAAAGTTTAAACATAAACTGTGCAGATTACTAGTTCCTCGAGCCCTGTGGGTTTGGACAGTTGCATATAACCGGGACGGAGTTCTTTTTACGGACTTGCGCTGAAGTTTCATTTTTCATTTTCAGCGATGATCCCGCTCCAACAGCGCTGCTGCGTGAAAGGGGAAACACGTCTGTGTGGGAGTATAACCTGCAGCATGATAGAATGAACACCCTCCCACCCCAACAGAATGCCTTTTGCTAGTCATTCTGAACGGGCCAACGCCACAACAAATGCCATTTAAGTTCTTATATGGACAGAGGGAAATATTAATAGTTCTCACACTGGCTGTGGCTCAGTTGTAGAGTCATCGCATTTAACCGAAAGGTCGAGGGTTCGATCCCCAGGTGGGCAACACGTCCGATGTGGCAAGACACTTAACCCCAAATTGCTCCCGCTGCTTCAGTGGCGGTGTATGAATGGATTGTGATTAGGTTCATTATGTGCTCAAAGGGCATTCAAAAAAGTGTTGCCTTCATAAACTAAAAGGTGTCAGTGTAATTTAAAATAAATATTTTTACATATAGGCTATATGAATTACTTCATTTCATTCTAAAACACTTGAACTCTTTTATTTATTGGAGACTCTTTTGGTTGAAGGATGCAGCACAAGTTTATTTTATGTGTTTTTTTTAAGGTTTTTTTTTAACAATGCTTAATTTTAAATGTTATTAAAAAGTAACCTGAGCACTTAGCCTAATGTGTAAAAGGGAAATTCTAAATATTCCTAATAAAGAAAAACAAGTGTTGCATGAGGTCCATTTACCGAACCGAACCGACATGTCTGTGTACCGTAACACCCCCTAAACATCGACGGTCTCATTTTAGTGAATTTGTGTTAAACCCAAAGTGTTTACATTTAACTTTGAAGATTCACTTTAATAAGCGTGTTTCATCATCCTTACCTCTTTCTGTCTGCCAACAAATCTAGCTCTTCTGGGATCATGTTCATCAAACACCTCAGGGGAGAAAAAACAAAAAAAGATCTGACCTTGCAAACTATGATATCATCAGATAAATGGAAACATTCGCGTCACAATAGATAAATAAATGGCCGAAGTCAAGATGGTCAGGGGGGAAACATTTTGGATGAAGGTCTTTAGACCTACTAGCAGCCCAAACACAAAGCTAAAGCTAACGTGAGGAATAACACCTGAACCATATGACAGCATCAGAGAGAATCACATGTTAACTTACCTGTCCGGTGTGAGTAATCGCCTCGCCAGTCTTGGAAACGTCTACGCTGTATCGGTGCGCAGGTACAGCAGTGAACCTCAAAGGTGAAACAAACACCTTAGCAGATTTACTGAAGGACAGAAGTCTCCCCACTGCGGCCGCCATGTTTACAACAATCTATTCTCCCAAGATGCCTTGCAGAGGATATGTGTATAGGACATTGCTTAGCCCTGAGTTTTGCTTCTCAGGTCCGTTCGTTGCTGCTAATGGTGCGAGGAGCAATATTTCTACAAAGCAAACGGGAGAAATCTGTCTGAAAGGCCAAACTGAGGGAATAAAACTCGCGTACTTTAACCGGACGTAGTTGTATCCTTGCAGCAAATACATCACCGCGGTGGTGTTGTGGCGATTAAAACACCATATTCTTGGAAATATCCTCCGGTTTTGACTGTCCACCGAGTCCTGAGGGTTTGTTTACCTTAATTTATTTTCAGGATACGAATTTTCCTGGTCCAATACAAATGTTTGCCTTTTTTTACCCCTGGCGCTAGTCGGTCAACTCTGTCATGCTTGTCTCCTTGAGATATCGAGGCTATCCTTGTGGCATTGACTGTATTATTTACATGTTCAACAGTTTTGAATATCTTCACTTGCAAGGTCATGCATACGTTCACATCGATTGATATGTTTGTTTGAAGAGCCTGACTGCACAGAGGTGAAATATAATGATTCATTGAATAGCGGAGCAGTAGGCTGTCTTTCACACGTCACATGTTTATATTGATAAAGAAACTATTATTTTAATCTGAGCTATTCACTTTCTTGTTACCAAAAATAATTCAGTTTAAAGATCAAGTAATAAGCTACTGATCATACACTGTAAATCTTTAAAAACATTCAAATATGACATTCAAAACTCGAGACTTGAGGAAAAACTCTTAGGTCATGAATTAATGATATCTTCATTTAGTCACTGTATTAACTTTGCATCATCTCTTGTTCCTCCCTCCTCAGCCTGGACACCATGACACCCCTCCTCTTGAAGCACCTTGCAACCTCTCTGTCTCGCCGAGTGGCCAGTGTGAGCTGGATAAATCTTCACCTCGCCTCACCAGCAGCAAGTGCTTACCGTCGTCTCTGCACGCTCACCACAGCTCCCGTGCACTTCTCCAAGTCGTCGCTCAGAATCAGCTCTGTCCAGCCCTCCTGGTCGAGCTCCTCTGCTCAGTTGGACCATCTCTGTTAGGAGTGCGTCCGCAGCTTCCATGGGTCCAGCCCGCTGCAGGGATGAAGACAAAGTCTGCCCTGAAGAGGCGCTGCAAAGATTGTTTCTTTGTTCGACGTAGAGGACGTTTGTTTGTTTTCTGCAAGACAAATCCAAGACACAAGCAGAGGCAGGGCTAAAATATTGAACTATCAATGAGAAGAGTGCTTTAAGATTGTGACTGTTTAGAAAGGCTGAGCTGCAATAAAATGTTGTTTGGATAAAAAAAAAAAAACATGCCAACTCTTTTTACAAATCCTCCCTTTCCTTTATAACACCAATGGCTAAAAATAAATGATTTATCATATTAAAGCAACTCAATATGTAATTTTTGACATTTCCAAAAACATTTTATACTGTAAACATAGTATTAACAAATATGAGAAAATTAAAATAATACTTGCTCAATGCTTTTCAATTAGTCTATGCTTGGAAAAGGGGAGACATTTGACCATCTGCTTCTCTGTGGACTATTAAATGCTTCAAGTGTAAGTTATTTTAAAACAAATTGAACAAATCTTTTCATACAGTATGAATTTAAACAATCATCTTTTGGTTTCACCAAAACACTGCAAAGTATTTTGTATCTCAATTTTTATGGTGAACAATTTTCCTGTCCATGAAATACTGTTAACTTGGGTCTCTATATGGTGGCACAGTCTATTTAGTGAAAAACTGATTTCATCACTCTTCCACACGAGGGAGCCATTGACTGTGTGAGATAAATATATAATCCACATTGTAATCTAATACAGGTGGTCACTTTGAGTCATTTGTTTAATCTGTTACATATATCGAGTCATCCCTGTAGCTCTGGATAAGTCAGTATTTAATGACAACATTTTGAACACGGAACAGAATTTAGTGTTTGTTATCAGGCTTACACACTTGTGTAGGCCAAGTCAGAAACTTCTTCCATATCCTTAAAACCTGACTATCTTTGTATCACTGAATCATGAAAAAGCATGTTACACCAAATTTATATTAACAGACGTTTTAACATGTAAGCTGTGTGGCAACGGGAACCTGAATGGTATGAAAGGTGTTGGGCAACAAACACATTTGTCCACAACCGCCACCCTGCTCAAATAGTGTTTTAAAGGTTCATGTTTACTAATGGATGATCGTGAACAAAAAAAAAAAAACATCGTGCAGTTATACTACATGAATTATAGGCTTAAAGTTTGCTTTGTTCATTAAAGAATGTATGAAGTTTGAAGAATTTAAAATGTTCAATCTGTCTCGTCTGCTATGTGTCATTTTGATTTTTTTTTTGTTTGTTTTTTTACAAGTCTTTGTTTAATTATTTCCAGAGTGTACAGCTGGATGGTGTTTCTCCAATATTTAATACATTTACATATCACGGCAATACATGGCCATAGACAAAAACATGAAAAAAGATTTCTGATTATCTCCAAAGATGGTACACTACATGCAGAATATTTAACCACCACCCAACCATCCTTAAACATGGCAGTGCGGGATAGGTTACAGATCGGCCATCTATGGCTTTGATAAACAACTAAGTCTGTTCTGAAAAAGGCATCTACTAACATTTAGAGATAAAAGACACTGGATATGAGTGGATCAGATGTTGGCGGATCACACTGATCACCGGATGGTTTTTATTCAGCCATGTGTATGCTGTTCTCTCTTGTTGCCCTTTATTGTGTAGTTAATATATCTATTTGTCAATCTATCTACATATCTCTTTCAAAATCTCTGTCACTGTGGATCAGCGCTTGAATACAAGGTAACACACAGTTGTGGCACGGGGGGAATGTGGGGTGTCTGACCGGCTTTCAGACTCCGTCGTTACTTTCAAACTAAAAGCTTGAAGAATAGACTACTTCCGGTAATTGCAAATTGGTACATGTTAGCCTCATGATCAAGATTCAATTCAGATTCAAGATTTGTATTTGTCACATGCTCATACAGATGTGCAGTGAAATGTAAAGACTGTTCCGCAAGGCCATGCAAGAAACACTCAAATTACTAAAACACATATATACAGAAAAATAGAAATATAATGCAACATTTAAAAAAGAAATATTTGAATAAACAAAATATAGACTATAGATCATGAAGATCGCCTAATACCTTTAAGTGGTGCTAAATAATGTAGGCCTATAACTTTTGACATTATATATTTACACAATTTAATGGGATGATGCGGTACAAACAACCATTTAAACTGTAGTGAAGACCTGCTGGTTCAATCCATAGACTATAAGGGTTCAATTGTGACTTTGGATTGAACACACTGTAGGAGGACTTACAAAATAGTATTGATTATTACTTCATATTATTAAAATGACAGCTTGAATATATAATTAAAATAGGCTACAGTAGACTATTTGCTAAATGTATGCCAAATTAAAAAAACTGGTTAGGGCTTATGCCCTGTTATTATTGAAGGAGAAACAGCCCTTAAAAAGGTTCTAAATATATATATCTAAACTCCTAATATGGTACATTTGACATTTGACTGTTATTTTTTCTGCTACAGGTACTTTATTGTGAATAAAACAACCGGAAGTGATGCTGGTGTACTTTGCCAGCTTGTTGTAATAAGCCCTCCTCCCCGCCCTGACTCGCGCCCCTGCTGTAGCCAGATGAAGATGGACTGAGGACTGAGGAAGATACGCTATAACGCCAACAAAACCAAAAAAAAAAAAAAAACTGAGCCAACCTCACGGAACATTTCATTACACGACGTTTCTTTGCTTTTAATTAGGAAGAGAACAATGAAATCATCAAACAGTCTCCCCTCCAGAGTGGGTAGAAACCCCTTCGTCCACGAGCTGAAATTCACACTGACAGAGAAAATAAAGGTAAGAAGACGATTAGGATAACGAATGACAGTGCTCATATATCCACTTTAAATCATCGACATTCTTCAACTAAAAGCGACTGCCAAACGAATTGCATTTCTTATTCATGCAGTGAATTTACTAAAACAAACTTAACTCACCTGGAGAGTGCTGACAGACCCCTAATGATGTTCTCTGAGCCGCTGTGTAAAACCACAAGTTGTTCCTCAAGAGTCACATTTTGCCCTGACTTTCGGGGGGGGAATGTGGTCCCTAAATGTCATTGTAGTCAGTGACAAAAGACGGTAATGCCAAACATATAGTTGTCATTTTAGTGATGACAACAAAGCGTGTTTAAAAAGCTACCACTCAATATAAAAATGCATGCCAACCAATTCAGGGTTAATATTGTAATAATGTTTATTCTTCAATGTGAAGTGGAACATAAACAAATCCTAGAGATAAGAGCATCACGTTTGTAGTCTTCCAATGTAAAACTAAAAAAAAAAAAAAAGACTATTAAGCTTGAAGGGATCCATTTGTTTAATTTTGTTTGGTGATCTACAGTTCATCTAACTTCTATGCTTTTCCAGCTGCTCAGCTGTAAGATTTATCTTAGACTTGTGGTGTCATTACAGTACCAGTCATTACTCCATATTTTAATGGATGGATCCTGAACCGTTTTTTAAACCTGTTTTTTTTTTTCAGCAGCTATAAAATAAAAAAGAAGAGACGATAAACATAGCAGCATTCTCTTGACTTCGTCTCTTACGCCCTCATTGAGAGTCTGCACTCCTCTGCTTTCTTTGCTTTTTTCTTCTCACTCATCCAATTGAGTGTGCCTCACAGTGTTTACCCTCAGGTGTCAGCAGGGGGGGGGGGGGTAAACAAGTTAGCCAAGTTTCATGTGTACTCAAGATACTCCTCTTTAGAATAGATCAGTTTCCTGTGTAGCAGGAGTGATTAATGATTTGGTTTAGGTAGAAGTCAAAGTTAAGATCACTTGGGTTATAAGGCTTCTCAGCAGTGGAGACCGGGCTGTCATGTTGACTGTCCAAACAAAATATACAAAATACGTATTAAATAAGATGAGCACTCTTGGCAAATAATGGCAGTGGTAGGTGATATGCTCTAGTGGATTTAGTTAGAGATTGACATGTGGGCACATCTTAAATCAACTACTGAAATCGATGGTTTGTCACTACTTGAGGTCGGGCCGTCTTGCTCCTCATCAATCAGCCAGTGGATCAATGGGCTGTTGTGGATTGTTGCTTTCTGACTATGAAACTGATACCCTGTACCCACACTTCCTAACCCTCCGACACATCACATGTTATTTATGTAGTGTAATGAAATGCAAAGTATATTTTGAATGAGGGATTGTTATGAAGGTAAGATAAACCTCAAGCTTTTTTTTTCTAAAGCAATGCCCTGAAATAGGTTGTGCTGGCCACAGTTCCACAATCTCACAAGAGGAGGAAGTGCACTCCCTCTCCTCCAACCCATTCAGTGTATCTGTTTATAGCTCCAGGGCTCTGAAGTACAAGCAATCCCTTATAGCAAAACACACAAACCACAAGGGTCACATGAAGGCACATACCTTTATGTTCATACCATCAGTTCCCAACAAATGCATTGATTAAAGGGGTTATTCCAGGTCTTTTGTTGATTCTGGTTTTGTATTTTTTAGACCCTCTCGCACTTCAATATGGCTTGCTGAATGCCATTTTGATAGATTTTGTTGTCCCAGGTCTTGTTGTCTTTCAGTAGATTGTGTGTGGTTTTTTTTTTTCCAAAAGGACAGTGGTTGTAAATGTCAGCTGGTATTCAAAGCATGTTTAAGATTGAAATTATTATTCTGCACACAAGATTTAGAAAATTAAGGGGCACTACCCTTCAAATCCAGCAGTAATACAAACCACTAAACCTGCCTGCCATCATTGCTGTTGTTTGGTTGATTTGGTTGATATGTCTCTTTTTGTTTGAATCAATTGAGAGCAATAGAAAATGGAATTGCATCCATTCTTCTTGTTTATTAACTTGAAGATGATTCTAACTGCATTTGATATGAAAATCTCTTGGATTCAAACTCAGAAACACACGAGAAATGCAGAAGTTTCACTCAGGCATAGACATAGAGCATGTGAAGTAAAGTTTGTGTTAAAGCAGACAGTATTTGTTTTCATGGGAGTGTGTGGTTCATAAGTCTTTATGAAGAGAAAAACCCACTAACTGCAAAATATTGTGCAGGCAGAGGAAGGTGTGAAACTGAATCAAATAAAGAAGATTCCACAAATTATACAACTGTTTCTGTGCTGAGCAAGTGAAGGTGAAGAACAGCTATGTCACTCGTGCACATGCAACGTGTAAAAAATGATCAACAAAAATAGAAAAAACCATGCCGAAATGCAAGTCAAGTGTTTCACTTCAGCTGTAAACAATACATTCAGTGCAAAGAAAACAAAAACAACCCCTTCTTGACTCATGGCACATCCGTGATCCTCCTCCCTGAAACGTTTTGTTATATGCAAACATGATCAGCAGTGCTGTAGTTCAGCAAGAGAAACAGTCGCACTGTTTCCAGCTGAGTCCCACATTGCTGAATAGTGTAGTTTATACAAACATGCCTGCCAACTCTTCAGCTTCAGACAAAACAGGCTTCCCATGTCATTTGAGCTGCAGTGACTGGACTTGAGTGGCCTGAGAGGCTCTACTTTAATCCCAGTTTATACCTAAAAAAAACAACATACAGATATTGCAGATTTTTGTAGCCCATTTCAAAACCAAATCTTACACTTTGTATTATGTTTATTATATGTAGATGTCAGCTAACTCCTTTTAAGAAATACTGTTTTCAAAACTGTTCAGAGTATCAAAATCAGCCAATCAATCTTTATTTGTATAGTGCAGTTTCAAAATGATTGTTATCGCAAGACACTTTACAAAAGAGCCGGCCTATTTGAATTTAAATGTATTTATTTAAAAGGGACAATGCAATGTAACATAGTTTCAACATGAAACTGATTTGCTGCATAAAAAGTATATAGCCTAGCTATTGCTTATTTCCAACTTGTGTCCCTAGTTGGGACTTTGAGTAAACAGAGTAAAAATGTACAACATTCGATCACATAAAACCCCAAAACACCATATGAGGATACATTAGAATACAACAATATGACGAATGCTATGAAGAAGTTTAAATTACAGATTTAAGATATCATTTCAAAGTGGGTTCAGTTCTGGTTTGCTTTCAGCCAGCATTTCACCTTTTTTGTGAAAGATTTTAAGTCTCAGATGAATTTTCGTTCAGGTGTTAATATGTTCCATGAGTTTACAACTTTTGATTGAGAAAGCTGATTGTCCAAATGTAGATCTATGTTGTTGTGTTATACAGTTTCCAGTCACTGCGCTTCTTGTTGCCCTGTTTCCATCCTGTCTTTGAACCTATCTGGAGAGAGGTTCAGGGCCAGATTGTTGATATATTTAAAAACTAGTTCTTACTAGACCTTACTCTTTGTTATATTATAGATACAAAGTATTGGTCATTTCACAAACGTCATTTCATTTTCTTCTTGGACAATTTTCCATATTTTCTTCTACCTTTTGTCTTGTAGTTTGGGAAATGCTTGTCCTTACGTCATGCTAAACACAACTCTTGATCGCTACACCAACAAGAATTAAAACAGGAGAACACACTAAGTGCCTGCTATGCTCCCAGGTGGGACATCCTTTTCCCCTGGCTTATTCAAAACAATTAACCCAGGGCAATAAACCTTCACCACAGGAAGTATGGAGCAGTTAAAAGTGCGCTGGGCCACATTGCATGGGGGAGTTTGCTGTCAAATAGTATGGCTAACATGGAAAAGTGTGAAGTGTGTGTCAGCGAAAGTCTGAAAATAATCTTCAAGAGATCTTTTTTTTTATTAATCAATGGAATTGCAAAACATGCATACATTGTTTTACATTATTTGGCATCAACAGCATGGAAAAAAAATAGTACAGTTGTATCAGGTGATGGTTTTTTGCCTTAAGTGAATCTCCACTGTTAGATTCGTGGAGTCCTCTAGTTGATCCAGAATTAAATTAAATTAAATGCATAGGTCTTGAAATCCTCTGTTGTGTCGATTGCACAGGCTTGTTGGATGCAAACTACAATGTGCGTCAGCTTAGTTTGATATTGACATGTCAGAATGAGTAGATATATATTTAAGTATGCCTTTACCTGTTATGCTCCAGGTTTCAGTCATGTTAACGTCGCAAATCTGAGCAACTGTTTTCATATCAAAGACCCCTGATTGATGAGAAGGTACACGAGTTAAAAAATACATATTTAATGACGCATTCGAGAGTATCTTAACTGCATTCAGGGGCAGAACCGAGGTGGGACATAAAGTTGGAATGAATTTAAACGGATTGTTCGCGTCAAAAAGCTTTTTAATTGACAAAAAAAATGAATTAACGTCCCTGAGTGCAGATAGAGTCATCAGGCATTTGAATCATTTAACAGGAAGAGAAAATACAATTATTTGGATGTTAAAATAGTTGGATAATGCGTTTTTGGAAAAGATTTGGCCGATAAATTAACATTTCACACAGGAACACTGGATTGAAACTGGGAAAATGTATTTTCCATTTCATGGGGACTTCATGAGGAAGTCATATCTGCCCCTGCTGATGTGTGTTGGTATACAGCTGTAGGAGATGGCACGTTTCAGATAATAACTTGTATAAGCTGTGCTCTTGTACGTCTTGTTTTTAACAGCTGACAGAGATATAGGCTGTATATGTGTTAAGGGAGCAGAAGTGCTCAGCTGTAGGATGGGCTTATTGAGCGACTCCACGGCTTTAATGGCCATTGACTGATTTTATGTTTCCATACAGAAAATGTGTTTTTGTGTGTTGGGAATCTCCTGAATGTCTAACATACATTAGATGTCTCACCAAATCTGTGAAGTTTATCCCTGGTCAAGAGATACTTCAAAAATAAAAATGAACTACATTACACTTTTGAGTGTCAGGTCACTTAAGTTGTTGGGGATTTTTTTCTGAGGTATTAGTCAACAGGCTAAACAATACCCATAATGTAACTCAATAGCAGCTTTTGTCAGACAATTCTTCCCAGGTAAATACTCAAGGCCCCAAGCGGTTTAATATGACGCCATGCAGGTAAACTAACCTCTACATGTAAAAATCAGTACAGCAAAATCTTAAGAGCTTTGTTTTGCCCAATCTTGTTTAAAACAGGCTTTTGGAATCGCAGATTCAAGTTGCAGAAATATAAGGAGTTTGGTAACAAACTGTTGGCACTTTAAGAATAATACTTTCTTTTATATCAGAGGGAGGAGTTTCAGAAAGGTGAGCTCAATACGGCAGAAGCACGTAATCAAAAGATAATGGACTAGTACTCTCATTATGCTGTAGGGATTGCTTTCCTGGACCGCGCCCCAGCTCATTTTCATGCCACCTACTGTGTAAATGTCAGCATATTCTCCCAGATGAATTCATTATGCTCTGATGATGAGTGTACCCTGCATCAGGCATGGGGGGTGAGGAGGAAGGGAAAAGCATTACAGCATCATAAATCACCCCTGTGCCTGTTTATTTATTAATGCAGCCCTGCAATTTGCACCTGGTCTCTTCCAGAGAGAGAATCACACAGGAAAGATATAGGACAGGGCAGGAGGGGGGGGGGGGGGGTAGAGATGATTCCCTAGAGAACTGGCAAGCAGCACATCAATGCAAGGAGGAAAACCGTTGAAGGGAGAGCAACATGATAAATGAAACAGCTGAGCAAATACACATAGGGAGTGAGAGATTTATATATTGATGACTGGGTGGATGGGTATTGGGGGAGAGGAATTCTCAAAGGACTGGAGATTTTTGTAGAGAAGGTCTTGAGGTTGATGAGGGGGTAACAAGGGACTGGGATGACAGTGTTGGATGAAGAGATTGGTACAAGGGGTCTAACTACTAACTAGGGGCAGGAAGGGACTAGAAAGGTCACCCAGTCGGAGTTTACACTGGAGGCCTTGACTTTGTGACCCTGCTAGCACACATATACACATAATATCTATCACATCAAGAGGTATGTCGAGTGAGTCAGCTGACTTCTCATCTCTCTTTACCTTCAATACATTTTGATTCAGGGACAACGCTTAAACAGTAAGTAAGCCATGTACTGTTTGCACTGAATTGTTTAACCACTAGCTTACTATATAGCTTACTTTGTGCAAAGCCAGACATTTCTGAACGCATGTTGTAGAAAACAGCATGTCAATAAAAAAAACTTCATCAACCAAACGAACTGAAATTGTGATTATATTTGTCCAGAACCTGCTCAGATATTCAATTTCTTCATTTGATACATCCTATTAACTGTAGTCAATCCTTTACTTTTTTTTTGTGTCAGCTTCAGGTCCAAGTTTTTACGTAACCTGTCGATTATGAAATCACCTTTAGCAAACAAACAGCCTCTCAGAGCCACGAGCATGCATGTCAAGTCTTAAGGCCCTATCTAAACATTTTAGAGAACATGGCCTTAAGTACATATTGTTACTGACAGGGCGTATCCAACTGTATCTTTTGGGGGTAACAAAAACAATTTGCCCAGTGAAAACCAATGGACACCTGCATCTGGTGCAATTATGTTTGTCTGACAGATTTTGTGCCCCCCCCCCCCCCCTTCATTCTGCATTGCAGGATATCCAAGCATCAGGTTCTGCTGTTAAAGAATGTGCAGCATGTTAAATACCTTACATAATTATTGTTTGACAGATGGTCTACAAAGCCATATAATGTTAGTCAATTGTGAAGTAAGTCATTATATGTGGAAGTGACATGATAATGTAACCTTTGAAGAGCCAGTTGGACAATGGTGTAGTTCCATGCAGAGATCTCCAGAATTTAGTTTAACTTTCATCTTTTGAAAGCAAGACAAAGCTTTTTGAAAACCTCATTCATGAGCTTTTCCAGCGACAGACTAAGGTCCAAGAGCTGCTTGCTGTTTTTGGGCTACCAGTCCCCGTCTGGACTCATAGTGATTCATTTTATTTGGCCTCAGTAGTACAAAACAACAGTTGAAGGGTTTCTCTGTTACAGCCAAACATGAATAAAGATACTCTGCCTGTCTCTCTGTTTCTGTCAACAGTGGTGGCTGTGTAGATGGAGGATGGTTGGTCTCTTTGGTAGATGGTTCCATTAATGTATTTGTTGATGTCCCAAATGAAATAACCTACTATCCACAAGGGGAGAAAAACCTGGATACTGTTGAAAGAAAATCAGCATCTCCACATCCTAGTTTCTGTGGCTGCTTCTTTTTTTTTTGTTTTGTTGCTAGGTATGATCTAGTTAGCGACTTATCTCCGCTGTAACCGATAGACCAAGACGAAAGAAGAATCAACATTAAGTGCAACCACAACAGCTTCAATCTACATAGGCGTTGATCCTACAATACTGTTGTTGTACCAGCAACTAGACGTACTGCAAGCACCAAGGCCCATGCACTCTGTTTGCCAAGAATGTGGTGAATGATTTCTCAACTCACCATTTGACTTTTTCCATGACTATTTAGATCAGTGCCTTGCACAATTACTCTGTTACACAATAACTCCTTGATAAGGAATTTTGTTATTCTCAGCAACTCTAATTTACTAAGCAAAGATGTTCACACCTGACAATAACATGTCTAGTCAAATGTGTCTCCAGTGACCACTTGTGATCGGATCTTTATTTCCTGCTCTTTATGCAAAAACACGTTGTTTATTCATTTTCGAAAGACTTTAAATAATAACAAATGACAAACAAAATGGGATGCAGACTTGCAGAGGGAGAGCTGACCTCATGTGGAGTAACAGACCGATGTAATTCATTTGTTTTATCATGAAGCATGATTGCACAGTTTTTTTTTTTTGCTTATAAGGAAAGAGTAAGAACTTTAGGAAAGGTGAAGTTACTGCTCTGCATAGTTTTTAACTATGATGAACTGCTTATGGGTCACATCAGCCAATTGTGTTATTCCGAATCCCAACATATAGAGACGCACTTGTTAATGTTAATGCACTGTGCGCAGAAATACTGCTCCCTTTTATATTATAGACTTCACTTCAAGTTGTCATTTTGTACTGTTTTGAGGCTGTGTATGTTATGCATTATTTTTCTATTGTATAGGTTTATTGTTGAGTAAATATTTCTTATTTTTGCTCAAAATTAAAAATGAACCCTTTCTATCTCTGCTCTTTATTACTTTTCAGATAGGACTGATGTCTGTTACAGTGTTTCCTCTGCGCCTGCTCCTGGTGTCCTTCCTCATGCTGCTGGCATGGCCCTTCGCCTTCACGGCCTCCCTGGGACGCTCTGAATATGTTGTGGAACCACAGTCATGGTGGAGGAGGTGTGTGTACTTGTATATGATAAATATTTGTGTGTAGGAAGGTGTAAAAACGCGAGTGTGCTACATAGACATATAGTACCACACAGAAATGTGTGATATGATAAACAGATCCAAACAAACAAGCACTTACTCAACTACGGCTTTAAGTCTGCTGAGTGTTTGTTGTTATGACGTATGTGTTTGCCAATATTATTTATTCAATACACCTGAGGAGTTATGACGAGCCGATTAAAGCAGCTCATTAACATGTCCTTTTGGTGGATACTGAATATAAAACAGAAAAATATGTGAAAAATATTAGTTCATTCTGAAATTGACTTCTTAGCTGAAGAGTAGTGTTTGTTGTACCCTTTGTGAAATGTGTTTATTACTGACCTAGCTAGAAAGATTTGGCAAAGTACATCTTTTCTTTTAGAAATTTGGAAAGTTTAAAAAAACACATTTTGTGCCTACTTGTCTGCCTCTCCTTTCTTAGATTGCTAGACGTGTGCCTACGAGCGATCATGCGAGCCATGTGGTTTTGTGGGGGATTCCATTGGATCAGGGTAAAAGGGCAACAGGCTGCACCCTCTGAAGCTCCCATTCTCACCGTGGCACCACACTCTTCCTACTTTGATGCCATCCCAATCACCATGACCATGTGCTCCATAGTCACCAAACTAGAGAGCAGGAGCATTCCTGTCTGGGGCAGTGAGTAATACACATTTCCATAAGCTCTGTGATCCATAGATTTAGCGACGATACAACATTTTCATGCCTCAGATTTCAGTTCATGAAAATAAGTAGAACGATCTTGTTGAAGACAGTTATTATTTTAAACTCCTCAACATTGCTCAGTTTTGTGATTCCATCCTAACTTTTTTTAGGGCAAATTTCCATAATGAACATAAGACTACTCAATCGTCCGATCTGGGTATGAGTGCTGATGGTTTAGCGGTTAGGCTGTGCCCTATGAATGGAGACAGTAATCCTCCCACATGTCATCTCTCCAGATTTCCTACTCTATTCATTATCCTATCTAAATTAAGACAAAAAGTCCCAAAATAAGTCTTTCCTAATTTAGTTTTGTTGCATTTGTAGTACTGATATTTATTTTCTTATGTTCTAACATGCATCCAATATCTATTGTTCACAATCATCCTCCCAGCTCTGATCAGCTACATCAGGCCAGTATTTGTGTTTCGGTCTGACCAGGACTCAAGAAGAAAAACTGTAGAGGAAATTAAGCGAAGAGCAAAGTCTGGAGGGGAGTGGCCTCAGGTAACCTAATCCTAAAGTCCATTTGGCCATGATCTGGTCTAACATCAGCTCAAAGTGCATTGAAAATCACAATGATTCACACACAAATCAAGGCTAATTGAAAGCAAGTCAAAGCCAGATGCATCTGTTTGTGTTTGTTTATGTGTGCCTTAAAGTGTTTGTTTGTTCCAGATCATGATATTCCCAGAGGGAACTTGCACCAACAGGTCGGGTCTCATCTTATTCAAAGCTGGTATGTGTTCAATCCCCTTCTTCCTCTTGAAACCATGAAACCAAAATTCAAACAAACTCTTCAAATTGAAACATATTAACAATGCAGGCCCATTTTCACTTACGGTATTATTTCATAAATGGACTAGAAAACAGATTAAAGGAAAGAAGGTCATCTTTGTTGTGTTTTCTGGTCATTTACAACCAGGGCTTCATTAGTGGAATATTAAGGGTGTCTGAAGACTTTGTTCAGCATTTTTTATTCAAATTTGCCAAGACTGAAAGAATTATTTTTTTTAAAGGTTGACTGCATAGCTGCCAACTCGATGTTAGATGTAAAATATTTCTGTAGAGTTGGGATCAATGTCTTGCGTCTAGCTAAGCAACATCATAACTAGACACATAGCTGCTGGGCTAGATCTGTTTGTTAACAGCTTACATGTGTGTATGAGTATGTGTTAGGTTGAGTATACTCTACTCAAGCCATTGTTCCCTGTCTGCTCTGTCAAATCCCCTTTCTTCCTGTTGGTAATTCTGTTATTTCTAGTTCCCCCCATTAGTCACATTCTGTCCTCCTTTGTGTGTGTGTGTGTGTGTGTGTGTGTGTGTGTGTGTGTGTGTGCGCGCGTGTGTGCGTGTGTGTGTGTCAGCTTGATCTGCCTGTTGTATGAGAGCAGTCCTCTCTGGTTTTGTCTCCTCTTGTTAGAGCTCTTCACTGGTTTCCAGCACAACAAAGCAACACATGTTTGGTCTGTTTGTGTTCTTTATGTGCATGGTGCCACCTGTTCATGATGTTCCCTGCAGATACTGTACCTCCTGTCTTCTTTTGAAGGGCTTTTAATAGAACCATCACTTTCATATTGGCCCCTTCTCTCCCAGTCTGTCCACTTGCTATTGTCACAGTAATATTCAGTGGGCCGGGACAGTGATCATCTTTTTCTTTTATGGGTGGTCAGACTAAAATCATCATCATTTGGATGACGATATCATTCTTTCTCTTATGTGTGGTCAGACTTATATGTATGGCCAGAATTGATTTATTTAAAATAGTTCTGTCATTTTCCGTGTTTAATGATGTTTAAAAAAGATAAGTTAAGTTAATATGATCTGGTGGTATGGTTGTCAACAGTGTAAGGTAAGGTATGAATGAGACTTCATGGTTAGCGGGAGTCAGCAGTTTTGCCTTTGGGTGGCAGAAAGCACATCCTGGTGTCAGGATTCGTAGGAAGTAAGCAGAAAATGACTTTTATTTAGCGGGAAAGCTCCTTCTTTACAGTAATTACTGTATGTCTTGACAGTGTTCTCCACAGACAGTATAGATCCTCAGCTGATGCAATGTGTTTATAGACATTTTTTGTAATTGTTACGTTAGTACACCAACAGGACAGCCAACATAAAAAGAACAAAAACAGAAGTAGCAGAAGAACACTGTGTTTTTGACCTCTGTCATGTCCAGACACCCTACTTTTAGCGGCTGTTTACTGTTATTTTTTTCCCTACTGAAGACAGCTGTGTTACAGAATGCTTTGCCACCCAGTCTAACTGAGCGGGCGTGGTCTGGTGGAAAAGTGAAGTCAATACAAAGAAGCCTCTATTTCAATCTTAATTGAACACAACAATGTTCTTTGTTAAAAATACCTTTGTACTCTGCCAACCTTTTTAAGTGTCATATCAAAGTTGCATTGACACCAGCCTCCCTCGCCTTAATTACTACTTCTTTACACATAATTAAGTTAGGTTTAATAAATGTGTTGGCTTTTACTTTTACCTTCAACACAATATGGTAATCCTTTGCAGAAAGGCTTACTGCGTAACAAAACAATATGGAATGATTTGACTCTGCATTTCCTTCAGCTCTGTGGTTAGCAACCAGCTAGTGTGCATTGGAGTATATACATGTAGTGATGGAAGAACTCTATTTTATCAAAGCAGCTCATTTAAGCCTTAAAGATTTCAACTTAATTCTCATTAGTTATCCCATGGTCACTTGTTCAAAGCTCAGACAGTGGGTTGAATAGAGTACTACCAGACATAAATTCTTTATGTAGCTTCACTCCGCTTGTCTGTCATCAGCAGCACATTATAGAATCTTTTTCAAAAGCTCTTTGCCAGAGCTGGAGGTTAGTATAGGGTTGTGAGCTTGTCATTCATCTTAACCTGTTCATGACTCAGCCCAACACATTGTTCTTTATCTGCTGTGTTTGAATCAGTGAAACTTTGTAGAAAACCCTGATGTAAAAACAATGTGGTATTGTAACAACATGAGCGTGAAGTGGTAGAAAAATATCTAGCTGCTAAATACAATTTTATATACTTTATTGGTATGTGTGATTATTCACTCTCTGTTGTCTTCTTTTTTGGTATGTGTGATTTTTCACTCTCTGTTGTCTTCTTCAGGTGCTTTCATTCCAGGAGTACCAGTGCAACCGGTGGTGCTACGTTATCCAAACAAACTGGTAAATGCACATTCCTTTGATCTTTTTTCTACTTCCTCCATACCTATAATCTTGGACATACTGAGCTCAACATAACTCCATGAATACACCATGTACACATTCTGACACACACCTGTGATGTAATGGTTTCTCCTGTGTTGAATGACTTCGTGTTCAGCTAGGATGATATTTCATCCCCCTTTTCTCTGTCTCTCTCTCTCTCTCTCTTACTCACACGGGTGTCATGTCTCTCTCTCAACACTTCTTCTCGCTCTCATGAATACAATTTTATTTTACCTAGGTTTTCTTGTCTATGATTCCCTTTGGGCTGAGTTTAGTCATAGTGCTGACTTTAGCATCAACATGGCAGGCTGGTAGTTTTGTACATTCCAGGCCAGACTCCTTATCACCACATACCATAAGTATTTCCTTTCCTGTCCATCTCTTTTCATCTTTTCATTTAGCTGTAGAGAAAGTTTACATTAACATTCTTAATAAAAAGATTTTTAATGTGACATATCAAAACATACTATAGGTCTTCTAAAGAAAAGTGTAATACGTCATGTGCGATTGGAAGCAGGAACCCTTTGAAAACATGAGCCACACGTTAACTGCTGACAGTTTGGTTGGAGTCGCAGGTGTTGAGGTGATTTGTGATCTCTCAAAATATGTTTTACGTCAAGAATCAATTATTCATATTCCAATTGTGACAGAAGAGTAATGTCTGATATGATAAAATGATCAAGTCATTTTGTTATGCTACAGGTCACAGGTCAACTTCATGGTGACATCATCATTTGTTTTGTGATAATCCATTATTTTAAATAATTTCACTAAACATAAATACGTTTGCATTTGTTTTCTGAGATACTAAACAAGTCTTGCAACAATGTCGGTACACAGTGTGACAACCACAGTGCACCTTAGGGCTTTAGACGACACAGAAGGAGCAAACTATGAGCCTGACTCAATCTCAATCAGGCGAGGCCAGCAGGTGAATCTGTGGACTTTAGAGCAATATACCATTATACGATGTGCAACATCACCAACACAAAATTGAGGCTATTTCTATATTTAGTATTTTAATGTATTTTTTCAGCTTAATTTCATGTACCTGTATTTATTTTAGAACTTCTTTTTAAAACATATTTTATCTGTAATCTTCTCTGTGATTTTTATGGTTTGTTTTATTGTTTTTTTAATTTCTTTTTCCCTTTGTCATGATGCTTGTGATGTCTTGTGTGAAGCACTTTTAATTGCCATGTTTCTGAAAATGTGCAAGATTCATAAATTTGACTTGACACTACTTGGTAATTAGCAGTGAAGAATACGATGTATTAGTGGATTTGGATTAAAACATTTCTTCCAACCTAAACACTCAAACACACTAACTTTTTATTTTTATTTTAACAGGATACCGTTTCATGGACATGGCAAGGCCCTGGAGCGTGAGTGTTTCTGTCTTTATATCACACATCTACATGTTTAGATGCACCAGAACCAAGATTCAAACACAAAGCTAACTCTGCCCACTGCTAAATATATGTATGAAGCCCCAGTGGCTTCTTTCTAGTAAGAATGAATTCATAAAATGAAGTCAGGAAAGCACATTTTTCTCCCAGTACTATGTACAGTCTTGTTGTCATGCATTTAATGTCTTATCTCCTTCTGATGCTATTTTTATGTGTAAATACAAAGCACACTTTTCTATACTTCAGGTTCAAGATTCTTTGGCTCACTCTGTGCCAACTTCATAATCCCATGGAGATAGAAGTGAGTTTCTTAGTAGAAGTCAGTAAGACTTTATTTTCTACTTTGTCACAGCTCAATCTTCTTTCCAATAAGAAAGAAATGTTAGCCTCTATTTGAAAAAAATCATTGTCCACCTAATGCCTCTTTCCTTAGTACCTGCCTATTTATACGCCATCAACCGAGGAGAAGGAAAACTCTGCCCTGTTTGCCAACAATGTCAGAAAGCTCATGGCCAAGTAAGTGTGCATTAGTGAGATTGCATAGTGTCTGCTGGCCAGACTTTGGATCCACTTTGGATTGTCTCTGTGCATGCTTGTTTTGGATATCTATAATTCTGGGACATAAATAAAGGTCCATATAAACATGTATTTTTCCTGATAGAGCCCTGGAGCTGCCACTCACGGACCTGTCCTTTGATGATCGGGACATCAGCCTATCACATGGCCCTCTATGCATATATAATTACAGCATCCTGCTTGAGTTCAACCGGCTGGTGTGCCGCTTGGGGTGAGTGGAGAGAGATGTGCTAACTGGTTGGACTGGTTAGCAGGCAGGTGTTCTCACTGACTTGTAGGCACTGAAGATGGGAAAAACACTGACACCCATAGGTGAACTGTCAGGCCAGTTTTTCGCTGGAGAACTAAACTAAACCCTGCATCATAAAATAAGACTACATTTCTCACTCTTTTTCCGTATTACCTGCTTTAATCTTACAGGATGTGGATAGATGTGTGGAATTGTTCAGGCTTATCAAAGGGAAGGTGATAACCCTTTTTTCAAACCACTTTGGTTCACTGTATATTAACAGACTGAGAGCAGGAGCCACATCCAAATCTCTGGAAGAGCAGGTCAGAAGAGCCAGAAAGCTGCAGGGAGACGGGTTGGGTTTGGAGGACTTTGCCCGGTTCCTTAACCTGCCAGTTACAGACCCACTCGCCCAAGTCCACAGCCTCTTCGACAAGGTGAACACAGACAGAGATTCATGAAACAATAGTGTTTTTTTTCTGAACAGAACTACAATCAAATTTGCATATGACCTCATCATGCATGCTCATGATTGTTTTATTCGCTTACTAAAATCCTTTTTTTTTTTTCAGCATGGAGACGGATTGATAGACATCAGACTCTACATCATTGCACTGTCTACCGTCTATCAACCATCAAAGACAATGGAGACCCTGAAATTAGCCTTCAAGGTGAGGACATTTACCACAGAATCTTATTTCACATAGCTGTTAAGTCACTCTACTGATATTACATGTTTTTGTGCAGATGTATGAGAGTGAAGACAACGGGAAAGTCCTGGAAGAGGATCTCGCCTCCATCTTGGAAATGATGTTAGGAGTTGAAGAGGTGGAGCTTTCTGGTGTCTTTTTATCGCTTGAAGGCTCTGACGAAGGGAAGATCACGTATGGTGAGAATCAGAGTTTGTTTTTGTGCTTTCAAACTTGCAGAAAACTCCTGAAAACTGTAATTTGCGGGGTGAGCTGCATATATGAACCAAATACAGGACACTGTAGAGGAATAGAATCTGATGATCTTCAGTGTGAAAATTGTCATAGTAATTCTTCTAATGTTTCAAAACAATAAAGCTAATTTCATTTTTATGTGAAAACACCAGACGTATCTCAAGTTTAAAATAAAAGCTGTGAAAAGGTATTGAACCTATCCATGCAACGCAAATGTAATATCTTCATGTGTTAAGGAACATTTAAAAATACGAAGCATTGATATTTGAAATCTTTCTCTTTTCAAGATGAACTTCATGGTTTTATAGAGCAGCATCCATACTTCATCCAGGATTACCTTGATTTTAAAAACCATCCACGCAAACTCTGCATTGGCCGACCTAAGAGCTGCAACGGCCAGAACCACAACAAAGACGTTTGAAGAATGCACTGAGACAATCTAGTGACCTTCTCAGCCTAACAGCTTCTCCAATGTGCCCACCACCTCTGTGCCTTCAAGTGCAGGAAGAGAAAAGGGACCAGACATATATAAACATTAAGGATAAGGATGGATGAGTGTGCACAGATGATGACATAAAAATCACTTAACACTAAAAAGTGTTTTTTTTTTTCCAGATGTTTTGTTCCTGAACTTATGGTTCAAATAAATTGTCTTTTGTGCTCTGCAAATACATTTATTTTAGTTTTATTTTCCACCTATTAAGGCAAGGTTTTTAAGCGTTATCTATTTAAAGAAGTGTGTCAATCAGCTCTTGTTTTGAAGGCAAGCATTGTTGTTTGTCCCACAGTGCTCTTTATTAAAGTAGTAAACACAGAAACATTAAAACTAAAAATGATGGCAGGTTTTCAAACCAAACTAGGAAACAAATGCTGGGTAAAACCCTGATCAGCCAATGCATCTAAAGAGATCATTTATTTATTCATTCAGCTGACTCACTGCCAAATAGATATCCAAATCAAGAACATTTGGACCAGTTGGTGACTAATTCAATTTTTAATGTTGACTAAAGACCTTTTCTTTTTTAATCTGCTCAATTTTGATGTCTATATTGGTTTGCAAAACGTTTTCTCAATACTGAAAGGAAAGTTATTTTAAGGAATAGAAAATGAGTTACAGGATTATTATGCTTTTTAGAAAATCCTTTCTTTCAAGCTCATAGCGTTAGATATTTCACATACCAAATACTCAGGTTTAAAGGGATTTGATCTCAGATGGCCTCTGCTGGACTGACATGTTTTGTACCTTATGGCTGTGAAGTTCCTGTAAAATTCATTTTTCATAATGTATAATAATGTAATACAGAATTAAAAGGTCCTTTTTTAAAAACAAATTAACTGCTTTCTGTTGCTGTCACCAACTGTTTTTATCCACTAGATGGCGATCTGCTTTAACACATTTATCTCAAAGTGGTATGACTCCACATGAGTCTCTGAAAAGGGCTTGCAGTAATCGTATGAATCAAGTCAATGTTTATTGAAGTACAAGCCCTAGTTGTTAAGTTTTCCCTTTTAGTAGTATTTACTTTTTTTTTTTTCTTTCATTCACTTGTGGTGAGTTGAAAGAACATCCGTTCATAATGTTTCTCCTGAGGATTCTTTCATAATGGCTTGTCTTTTCTTTGTCCACATGGTGGTGCTAGCTTTCTTGTACACCACAGAGCCCATGCACCGTTGCCCACCTGATGGACAGGAAAAGCATTACCTCATCCCTTCCTTTCATTGCTTCAGGTAAAAATAGACAGATTAAGACTGGGCTTTGATGAGAAAAGCCTACAGAGGAGGTGTGAAAGCAGGGAGAGAGGGAAAAAGATGGAGGACAGAGACTAAATGGATCGTTCTGCTCCAAATCCAATTCCTAATAGCTGGAGGGTGGGTGGATGGGAGGAGGGGGAAACAGTCAAAGGAAGAGGAAAGGGGGAGTAGAGATATCACGTCTAACAATTAAGATCTGCCTTCAGGGTCTAAAAAAGAAGCTTGAGAACATATAAATTGCTCATTGAGCAGTGGCTCTCTGCAGTCTCTCTCAGATCTTGCTGCCTTAAAGGAATCTGCCATAAAGACAGCTGCTGCAGCCCACAGCATGAATGTCGTCACAGTACTTAGGGATCTGTCTCCAGCAGTCACCCGGACTGAGCAAAATATCCCCTACTGTAAACACAAACCTGGAGCTAATCCCAGTGACTGTGGAGGAAGCTTCACTGTAAATCCACTTGAGATCAAATGTGGGTATAGTACTTAGTAGGGTTAAAGATCCAGCTCAGCTTACAGGTGTCTTTTGTTTGCTGTGTACCAGCCAGGTTTATCAACCTCCCCTTAGCTGTTGCTTAAAATGAACCTGCTTGATATTCCCTTAGCCAGATCATGGAGGTCTTATATTTAATCTTGTAAGTGTTGAATACTAATAGATGGCACAAATTATTTAACAATGAGGTTCCTGTGGTCTGAAGTCTTCACTGCAATTATTCCTAGCCATGATTTTTTTTAACCTAAGGGCCACAGGGTTAGGTGGGAAGAAGGTTGAGTTACTTTAAAGATATATGAATTGTCATTTAATTACAAAAATCCTTACCTTAAGTAAGGATGAGCTTGAGTTAGCAAATGAGATGAGAACTGTTTTGTTTAAATGGGCGGAAATTAATGAAACGTTAATAATATTGAGCTAGTCAAGTGGTTTAAATAACTAAGATTGAATAAATGAAGCATTTTGTTTGCTAAAGGTAGCAGATAAATGTTGAAGAAAAAGCAATTGAGTTTATGAAGCTCAAGGAGTGAATGAATCATTGAAGTATCTACAGGTGATGGAAGAGTTAACATAGTGTGCTCATTGATTCTGATCATTGGTTTAAACAACTTTGAAATATAATGGGTATTTTGGTCTTAAACGAGGCTAATCTCCCATCAAATCAATCCAGTATAAGATATACTTTTCTTTGCTTTCACTGTTTGTTTCCCTTTGAGCCAGCAGTATTCAATTGAGCTATATTTCAGTTGATTAGCTGTGACCTGATTCTGTTTGACAATACACTGCAAGTGTGAAATATATTTCGGGGGAGTGATTGATGACACATCTGAGCAAGCTTGTCTCCTGACACTCAGGTTATTGTGTTTCAACACGCTCATCAGCCCACTTAGTTCATTGACAAATATAGAACATTGAATCATCACCAGAAATATTTTGTTTTGCACAGGCAGTTGTACTCTAAACCAAGGCTGTGTTCTGAAGGAGTAAGCGATATATTTTTGAATAATTATATTTTCTTTCTACTATTTCCAAGGGAAATAACAAGGCATTGTCATGTAAGACTTAAACGCAAAGTCCTATCATGGTTCAATCATTCAAAATTATTCTATAATTCTACATTTCATAGCAGACACTTTTATCCAAAGCGATGTACATCAGAGAGTAACACAAGCAAGGATCTAGAAAGGAGACAAAAATGTCAGTAAGTGCAAACGAACAGCTTTAAGTTCGATCGGACACACAGTGCTGACAGGCATTGCACAGAGGCAGAGCACAACATTGACGGCAGTTCTTGAGAGCTCTAATCTGTATCTGTAACCATCTTAAAATCTTTGTTATCAACAAAACCATCGTAATTACTGAGCCAGCCCTAACTATAAGCTTTATCAAAAAGAAGAATATCTTAAAAGTACAGAGGTTGTCTGCATCCCTGACCTTGACTGGTAGATGATTCCAAAGAAGAGGGACCTGACAACTGGAAACTTTACCTCCCATAGTACATTAGAGACTGTAGGTACCAGGATCAGGCCTGCCTTCTGGGAGCGCAATCGTCTAGAGTGGTAATACAGCACTATGAGCTCTATAGGATAAGATGATGCCTGGCTATTATGAGCTTTGTAAGTGAGAAGAAGGATATTTAAACTATACTCCAATTTAATAGGGAGCCAGTGCAGAGAAGCCAATACAGGAGTAATGTGATCTTTTTTCCTAGTTATTTTCCTGGGATATGTCTGAATTTAAATATATTGCAAAGGTGAAAATAGGCTGTCATTTAGATGTGTTTTATGTGAGAGTTAAAGGACATAAATAAAATAGAACTCAGCTGGATGCCAGGCTGATGCAATCTAGGACAGTTATATCATTAGAAAAAGTATCTCTGATGTGTTGAGGACCAAGTACAATAAAAAAAACTTCAGTCTTGCCTGAGTTAAGCTGTAAAAAAGTTCTGGTCCTCCAGGTCAAAAAATGAGTTTATAATTACTAACTTTGACCTCAAAATGGTCCTGCAGGGAGAGTCACAGATCAGCATAGTCAAGTATGCTTAGATTTCTTGAAGGAGTTTATCTTAATATGCAGTTCCTCTTAGGTTGTCTCTGGAACTTGTTGGCCGGAAAAGGCTATTAGGACTCATTTGATGATCATCATTTTTCTGTAAAACATTTTATGGCAATCTTTTAGACATCTTATTCTGAGTACACTAAAGTGATACTCACAGACTGATAGATACCAACTGATGCTTCAGACATCATTCTTCCTCCATCTGTTCATCAGTATCTTCATATATTATTTTTAATCAAAGTAGTTAATGTTGCATTTGCAGTCTTATTGGATAAAGTATGTAAACAATTTTGGCTTTTGATCAAGTCACTGCTTCTGGTTGGGTTTAAAGAGTAGGCAAAATCTTGTATGGGCTATTGGCCTCACACCCCAGAATTATCCTCTTTTGCCTCATAAGGATTACATGCTACACCTGCTCAAAATAACATGGGATGCATGCTTCTATCAATATCTCTGAGTCACTTTCCATGTTTTCATATCCAAGGATGCCCATTTTTGAACATTCCTCCCCCATGACATACCCAAACATGTCTCTTTTTTCTTCTTTTTTTGGACACATCAATGTCAGAAGCTACAAAAAGGATTTCTTAGAAAAAGCCCCCCTAAAGGAACCCTATGTTGCTTTATAATTTTCATAGACATAACAGCTAATAGATATAGTTTGGATAACACATTGGTTAGCAATGTTAACATGCTCAACAAGTTGGTTTAGATGTTGCCAAGCAATTCTTTCAATTCACAACCATTGGAAAGGGTCTCAAAGTAAAAAGCTGTTGAAAATATATATGTACATATATATGTACACCTTTTGTGACTGCCATTGATGGTTGATGGGTTGAACCAACAGGGTATCACTATAGAAATATAATTCATCCTTTAGGTTTTTCCTTTATGTTGCACAAAGTGCATTGAAACGTGCACTTGATCAGAAAGCCTTCACAACATAAGGCACATTGTGTTGTATTGAGTCCATTAGCCATTGAGACATGCAGGGCAGCAACACTTGAGATGGAGAGATGCAAAGAGACCGAGATTGTTGCTGAAAGGTTCAAGGCGAGAACCAAGAAAATGAATCAGAACTTTAGCTGATGCAATGATACAAAGCCCATCAGGTAGAACATCAACACCTGAGAGCAGTTATATGGGGGGATGGGGGGGGTAATGTTTCTGTTATTACAGTAATGACAAATGTTATGAACTGGCCTGGATATAAACTCTTTGAATGGCCTCTTTTCATGTTTTCATGTATGTACTACTCATTTCGGATACAGTTTTCTACTGCTAACTGTAGAGAATGCTATGCTAAAGTGATTAAGATCTTTGAATAAGATCCATCTGCCTCCCAGACAGTCTTGGGACTTTTGGCCTC